GCTTAATTATTCATGGCTGAGGTTACCAGATGTCAAGCAAAGAATTCAGAATGTTCTCTCGGGGTCACAGTTCTCTAGCCCCAAAAGGGAGGTTCCTAACTAAAGCCCCGTCAGTCCAGTAGGGGAGAGCCCCGACCAGCGCCCCGTCAGAGATGAAGCTGAGTGAACAACCAAGGCTAGAAAGGGAACGTCCGGACCCACATGCTGCCACAGGGGAGGTCAAGGCGATAGGGAGGGTTCCCTGGTGTCGTCACACCTGAGCCCGTGGCTCAAAGACCTCTCAGCCGGCCAGTGCAAGTACTGACACAGCCACACGTGCAGCAAACACGGTTCTGCAAACAAAAGATCCAAGTGTAGCCCCAAAATTCCACTTCCACTCCCAGACAGAGGCCTTCAAACAGACTGGCCCAGCCCTCAAAAGAGAATGGACCCGGAGTGGTTCTCAGCCCAGGTGGAGGGGGTGGAATTCTCCCATCCTGCGCAGCCTGAGTGGCTCACCCCAAAACCACACACACAAGAAAACACTGGCAACAAATAAGCTACGGTCATACAGGCAGAGGAGGTGTAGTCCAAAAATTCCACTTCCTCCCCCAACGGAGGCCTCCACACAGAAGGGCCCAGAGAACAGGCCCAGGGTGGCTCGAGGGGAGCCCAGAGCGGCTCCCTTCCCGGTGGGAATGAGCCCGGGTGGAGAATCGCCAGCCGGCGGGAGCTGGAGCCCCTCACCCCCCCAGTCACAGAATACGCACCGCAGCTCTGGACGTTTCTAGGCTCCAAACAGCCTCAGGCTAGGAGCGGCTGGCGCCTGCTGGGGGACTCTCTTCCGGCTCCCCAGAGCGAAGTGAGCTCTGGCAGCTGCTGGGACGCAGGGAAGGGGCTGCCGCCTGGCTGGGCCGACCTGCCAGGGCACGGACTCCTGCGCTGGCTCCCCAGAACTGTTACTGGAGACGAGTTCTAGTGCCCGACGCACCATGAGGCCAAATAAGCTGAAATGTCAGAGTTTGGAGCACAGAAAGGTTTATTGCAGGGCCGGGCAAGGAGGATGGACGGCTCGTGCTCCAGAAAACCCTGAACTCCCTGAAGGGGTTCCTCAAAGCTTATTTAAAGGTCAGGTGAGGGAGGGGCGTCACAGGTGCGTGATCAGCTCGTGCGACTCTCTGATTGGCTGATGTGGGAACAGGGTAGTCAACACTATTAACCCCTGGGCACCAGGTGTGGGGCCACGTGTTCTCCATCATCAGGCAGTTCATTTCTACCCTTTTGTGGTGATTTTTAGCATCTGAGAAATTCAGGAAATATATGTGACATACTATTATCTGGGTCCTTCAGAGAGGAGCTGCAGCAGAGGACATGGGGGTGGGTCTGTCCCCGGAAGACCCCACAGGGTCCTGCTCGGTTACACATGGGCCTGGCCGACCTCGGGTTAAGTGCCTTCCTCCGTGATTGCTACCTGATGGCTCCTTATCCTCCCCATGCAGACAGCTGTCGGAGGAAAACGCCAATCTCCAGGAGTACGTGGAGAAGGAAACCCAGGAGAAGAAGAGACTGAGCCGGACCAACGAAGAGCTGCTTTGGAAGCTCCAAACTGGGGACCCAACCAGCCCGATTAAACTGTCCCCCACATCCCCCGTTTACCGCGGCTCCTCCTCCTCCGGTCCCTCCTCTCCCGCCAGAGTCAGCACGACGCCCAGATGACGCCACCACGCAGCCGGCGGAGCTGCGGCGCCCGGTCCACGCGGGCTTCCACCTCGTGGGAGTGTTGGCCATGGGCCGGCTCAGCTCGCCCCGCGCGCATGCCCAGTAGCTGCATAGCTGCATCCCAGGCTGAGTCCTCTTCTGATCCTCGTGTAAGACTGTCCTGGTACTGGCCCTTAGGCAAGTGTAAACGGTAGTGTCTGATGTGCAAACGTTTGACCATAGTTAGAACCAAAAGAGAGAAATGCCAATTGTTCTTGAGCAATGAACTTTTCCACTGCAGAATTTCAGGTTAGTTACAACTAGCTCAGTTTTGAGTACCCATTGACTACGCATTGTGTACTGCACCGATATGTGTGTATATTTAGATACACGTATATACACATGCAGCAGTTCTGAATTGCATTTTTTATAACATGAAGTGCTGACATATTTTGGTGACGGTCAGCAGTTTTCTAACTTGTGCCTCAGAATTATTGGGAAATGAAAACGCATTTCTATCTAGCTTCCCAGGAATATTTCTACCCAAAATAGAAAAAGGAAAAAAAAAAAGATACAGAGAAGAAGCGCCTTTCAACCTACCACCAAGTGGTACTCTGTTTAACACAAACACCAGCCATTCATGAACGGTAACTGCATTTGGAACAATCAGCTTCTTAGTCAACATGACATGAGGTCACTGTTACTCCATCCGCAAGTTTTAATTATTAACACTCCTGTGAATCCA